TCCCTTGATAGTAACTACTACTTTTATTTATTGCTTTTGTTGATTTATTTGTTTTAGCATTGATTGTTACTTTGGCTCTTCTGTAGTACAACTTATATTATTTAAGAAAAAGATGCAACTTACAATTCTTTGACAGTGGATGTTACAAAATTCCATAAGATGATCACACCATTTACGGTCCCAGCGGCTATCAAATTATATCCTTCTACTTGCAATATATCAATGCAGTTCACTTCTGAACTGACCGCAGGATTCTAAAGAAGGGAGGAAGCCAACTCATTGACCGTCATGAACACAGTATCTAACCACAATACACACACTGTGTGTACACTCTGTTATCTCCTCATTAACTTAAAATGTCTTAGGATTTTTCAAAAAATTTACTGGAGTAGGGTTGGTATACAGTATTAGATTCATTTCAGATGTACGACATAGTGATTCGACATGAATATGCCTTACAATGTGATCACCATAAATCTGAAAACCATCTGTCATGCAAAGTTCTTATGATGTTATTGACTATATTCCCTGAGCTGTACATTACATCTCCATGACTCATGTTATAGCTGAAATTAAGCGATAGTACATTGAAGTTCATTGCATTATTTTCTCTACTTCTGTGTCTGTTTGTAATGTTCCATAATAAAAGGGAAGAAAATCAAGAAATGAAACTTACAGGAACATCTTGAGACTGGGTTTTCTCAACTATCAGCGAAACATATGGGAAGGGAAGAGCCATACTACTGTTTGTAGTAGACGTTTTCAGACGCACAATATGATTACCATCTTGCAGGACAGGTATAACATCAGGTAGCTCCCATATCACAATGAGACAAATATCATTTTCTTTACCCTTTAATAGAAACCCAATGAGGACATGAGAAACTCAATTAACTGTTTTATTTGGAACTGTTGTAAGGATATAGAGAAAAATAGAACAAGCCAGGATGTATCTGCCACCCAGTTTTGTCAAGTCTTAAGTTCTATCTACCCCTCCCTAATATAATTCCTCTTTTTTTTCCCCTTTCCATAAGTAACTAGTAACCTGAATGAGGTGTTAGATATGAAAGTTTGTATATTTATACATAAATATATACATACATTTTACATGTATGTAAGTAAATCTATATAAGTATTGCTTTCAGGCTTTTAACCATTTTTTTTTTGAAAACCCTAACTTTTATTTTTGAAAGATAGCTGGATAAACTGGCAAACGCCAGTTTTGTTGAAATTTCAAGATGGTATAAAAATGCTTCCAGGATATAGTCAGCATATTCACATTCACTTCAGTTCCATTCGGATGGATTTCAGCTTCCAACAGGCTTTTAACCTTTTAATAAAGTCATCAAGCTGTATGAATTCTTCTTCAACTCTTTTGTTTCACTTAAAATTATATTTCTGAGTCCTGGCCGGAGTTGCTCAGTTGGTTGGAGCATCGTCCCATACACCAGAAGGTCAAGGGTTCAATTTCCAGTCAGGGTTCATACCTGGGTTGGGGTTTGGTCTCAGTAGGGGTGCATACAGGAGGCAAACAATCGATGCTTCTCTCACATCTATGTTTCTCTCTCGCGCCCTCCCTCTCTAAAAATCAATAAAAACATATCCTTGGGTGAGGATTAAAAAATTTATACTTTTGAGATTTTTTACATAAAGCTCTAGTTCATTTATTTTTAACTGCTTTATAGTGTTGTATGAATATACTACAACTGATTTAACCTATTCTCTTAGTAATGGATATTAAGCTTGTTGTCAATTTTTTGCTGCCTGTTTTTATGGACAATTGCTACAGCTTCTAGAACAATTACTGGAGTAGGATTATCAAGTTATAAGAGATGCATGTTATCAACTTTACTAGATATTGCCAAGTGATTTTTCAAGGAGTGTTAATCTTTTCCCACTCCAACTGGAGCAGAGCAGAGTTCTCCTTTCTTCTCATTCTTGCCAACATTTGATTTTACTCGATTATGTAGCCTACCTAATGGGTTTGAAATGGGACATTTAAAAATTAATCTTAGCCCTAGCTGGTTTGGCTCAGTGGATAGAGCATCAGCCTGGGGACTGAAGGGTCCTGGGTTTGATTCCGGTCAAGGGCACATGCCAGGGTTGTGGGCTCAATCCCCAGTAGGGGGCGTGCAGGAGGCAGCCGATCAATGATTCTCTCTCATCATTGATGTTTCTCACTCTCTCTCCCTGAAATCAATAAAAATATTAAAAAATTTAATTGTAAAATACATTAATTATGTCAATCACATTTTCTGAATTAGTGAACTGAACTTTTTATGTGTTTGTGAAACATTTGGCTTTCCTTACCTGTCCTTGGTCCATCTTCATCTTGGGCTGTTTGGTGTTGTTCTGCATTTGTGGGATTTCTTTAGCTACTCTGGTTCCTAATCTTTTCTCACTTACCTGGGATCCAGTGAGTGGTCTTTTCACACTATGTGACTTGTTTTTCACTTTTTAAAGAAAAGAGCTTATTTTTAATATGAAAGCAAGACATTGTTGTGGCATCCCATCTGTGAAAATGTTATAGCTCTCATATTTTCAGGAGTGTTTTTTTTTATGTCCTTTACTTTTCTTTTATTTCCACAAAACTCTGGCATATTTGTGTTGAATTTATTTTAGGCACCTCATATTTTTCTTTGCTATTGTAATGCAATCATTTATTCTGCTTTCTAGGTGGTTATTATTGATGACATGCTATTTAATTTTGAAATGAGGATAAAAGCCACATTTTTAAGGTCGGTCATTTTGCCAGCAGAGCAGGATTTTAAAGGTTGAAAGCAGCTACAGTAAAGTGGAGAGAATATTGGCCTAAGCGTGAAAACAACAGATTTCTAGTCTCAGTTCTAGTGAGAAGTTGAACAGAGCACCTGTCTTCTTTGGGCCTTATTTATAAGCTGAGGAGTTTAGCTAGTTGACAAACAAAAGTCCTTTCTTTTTTTACTTTAATATATATCTGTATTGATTTCAGAGAGGAAGGAAGGAGAGATAGAAACATCAATGATGAGAGAGAATCATTGATCAGCTGCCTCCTACATGGCCCCAAGTGGGGATCGAGCCTGCAACTCAGGCATGTGGCCTGACCTGGAATCGAACTGTGACCTCCTGGTTCACAGATCAATGCTCCAACCACCGAGCAACACAGGCCGGGCAGTCCTTTCATTTTTTTTTTAAAATATATTTTATTGATTTTTACAGAGGAGGAAGGGGGAGAGATAGAGAGCCAGAAACATGGATGAGAGATAAACATCGATCGGCTGCCTCCTGCACACCCCCCACTGG